CAGGTGGGAGAGGTTCCCACTGGGCAGGAGTTTGGAGCCCATGCCCAGGGGGCCAGCAGGAACACGAAGCTCAGGTGGGCAGGGTGTGGATGTGGGGACCCCTCCACACACCCCCCCACATGGCACAGCCCTAACCGCCAGCAGCAGCATCCAGCCTTGGGGCACTCATGGCCCATGTAGGCCTGGGTACAGCTCCAGCCATAGCTGTATGGTGGGGGCGAGCAAGGAGCATAGGCTGCCAGCTGCCCCTCTCATGCCAGGCTCCCTGTAGTACACGTGCATCTCCACACTACCAGGGAAAGCCTGGAGCTGGCTGCCTTCCCCACCCCCTGCCATGCAAGTCCCAGGAAGCAGGGGTCATCCAGGGGAAGGCAGCCGGCTCCAGCCCACACTGCTTCCCCCAGTAGTGCAGAGCTATGCGTGGGCTGCGCAGAGCCCAGTGCAAGGGAGGCAGGCAGCAGGGCTGCACTCTTTGCCACCGCTGTGCAGTGCTGGCCAGAGCCACGTGGCATGGGGGGGGGGGGGGGGGGGGGGCAGCCACCATTGGTGGCGGGGGCTGTGCACAATGGGGAGGAGCGTGTGGAGGGTGGGGTCTCCACATATACACCCCAACATGCCCTACTACCCCCACACCCCATCACACATACCTCCCACCCCCATTCCCCTCTCTGAAATGTCCTGGGCTTGTTTTTAAAGGCAGTGCTGCTTCCCCCCCCCCGCCCCAAAACTTGGCAACACTGCTCCAAGCCCTGCTCCCCACAGGCAGCAGTGCCAGGGTGGGGAAGGGGGTCTTGACAGCCCAGAGCCCATGAGCATGTTTGTCCAGGGCCCACTAAAGGGTTAATCCAACCCTGCCTTCAGAGCTGCCACTACTAGGAAGCAGTTAGTAAGATCCCTAAGTAAACTGTACACAGGGAACTACAGCCTGGAGGAAAGAGCCTCAGAACTCAGATCTAGCCCATGGTCCATATACCTGATACCCCTAGTACAGAGGAAGTTCTGCAACAAGAAGTAACACATTTTTAAAACCCAGATCCTCCCTGTCTCTCTCTATGCTTAGCACTTACCTTCACAGATCATTGGTTCAATTGTAAACACATGACCAGGCTTCATTACTCCAACTGCCTTATTTTCTGAAAAGAAATTAACATGTAAGTTATAAGGGAAAAGCTTATCTTGGAGTAAGAATGAATCCCAGTGAGGGACAGACTGCAAAGTCAGAACATGTTGAATAAGACCCTTCAATTAACCCATTTTATTCAAAATTATGCTTTCCTTAACAGCATAACATGCCATCTTTCTCATCTTCTCTCCTGCTCAAATGTAATTTTTGCTGGCAATTACCTGCTGTCTGCCCTGGAACACAGATCTCATTCCTTTCAAGTAATGGTGGAAAGCAAAAGTAACAGCTCGTGTGGAGTAATATTTTTTAAAAAGGTATTCAAATGAGGCTTAAAGGCCTTTTGATTTGTTTCCATCATTGCTCATACTCCCTTCTCCAAGCAAGTAGCCAAATGGGATTGGATTTAGATAATCCTGTAGTTCAACCTCAATTTATGAAAGAGACAAACAGTTCCCTTTGTGACCCCTTACTTTCCACAGTAAACATTCTGCTACCAATTATTTTTGCATTAGATTTTAATCAGCTGAAGAAGAATGGTAGAAATTTTCAGAGAAATCTAAGGATTTAGATATCATCCTCTAAAACTAAACGTACTAAATGCTAAATTCTAGTAGCGGATGTGTGTGTCTGTATCATGTCCCAGTTTTCCTCATCTCATTCGGAAGAAAATCTGCAGACTTAAGAGAGAGAAGTAGGCTTTTTTGCCTTTAAAAAAAATCAGTTAGTTAAGGCAGAAAATAGCTGTTCACTTCACTCTTTCTTCCTTAAAATTTTCCTTTAAAAATCTCCCAGGCCCTTTCTTTTTGTTTCTGTCACTGGGCTAAGATTAAAGGAAAATAAACATTTCCTTCCTTCAAATGGAGCTTGCTTATTGCCTCACTCAAAAAAAGCAGCTCATGGTCCCTAATACCCAGGAAGGATGCAATTATTCCTTTTCTGGGTTTGCCTTTTAGGTAGCATAATATACCCCCTCTATTGCAGAGGCTGTGTACTTTTTTACAGAGGGAAAAAAACCCCTAAAACATCTTTTTTTTTTTTTTTAATGGTAAGTGGTCACCCTCAGGAATGACTAGAGCAATAACCAATGCTTGTTATGCTGAAATCCAAGGCCTCAACCATTGTGTATTTAAGAAAACCTGCCAAGAGTTGGGGAGTTGAAGGCTTTTGGCAGCTCTAGATAAGAAAAGGTCACATCTGAGGAGCTTAAAGCATGGAGTGAGCTGGAGCTGCTTGTTACTGGAAAAGTGGATGTTTTGTGACCTTTGCATACCTCCCTCAATTACTCACTGATCTTTCAGCTTCTCCTCCATCTTACTTCGACTCTTCCTCTTATCTTTTTTATGATCCTAAGGCCACTGGCTAGCACTTGTTTTTTTCAAAACCAAGCCAAGCTGTGCCACACCCAGACATCCTTCCTTTTCACTGTATTCTTGCATCACTATCTTATCTTCCAAAGTCCACACCACCAAGATCTCACAATAGTTTAAATGAGAAAAAAAGCAGCACACTGGGATCCAGAACAGATACAGCTGTAGCAGCTGCCTAAACTTAATGTTCACACAGCTCTTCTTCATCAAGTAGTAAGTGGTGTATTGCCTGAAGCAATTCTTATTTATTTCTGACAAGGATGTTCAGCTCAACCTCTCTATTAACGAATGCAGTATAACCATTGTTATCAATACCAAATATCCAAGAGAAAAAAACCTGTAAAAATCAAAGTCACTAGGAATCGTCATGCAGTAATCTAGCACTCATCCAGCATAATTAGGGTTCATTCTCTAAACTAGAAGCACATTGTCTCAGCTCTTTCATAAAGCATTTTAAAAGACAAGCTCCAAAAACAAACAAACAAAAAAATATTCTACCAGCACAAAAATCCTGAAGGGCTGTCAAGCAACGTGTGTGATTTCAGTACAAGATAAACAAAAGTAGATCACGCTCACTCATGACTGGGCCTGCTGTAACTGATAGCAGGCACTTGGGCAAATACTTACTGGCATAATGTGGCACATTGGGGGCAGTATGGAAAAGCTTATGGATGCCATGCCCGCAGTAGCTCCGAACAACTGAAAACCCATTGGCTTGGGCATGTTTCTGAATGATGTTTCCCAGTTCTCTGTACCGAACACCAGGTTTTACTGCAAGACAAGACAAATGTTTTTAAAAAACAGGCTTCCTTCAATGTATCCCTACCCTCAACTTAGTAAAGGAAGAAGTCACCAGCTCCAGTGAAGGCTATACATCAGTCATAGCTAAGTTGTCCATCTACTTTTTTTTTTTTTTTTTTTTTTGAATAAGCAGCCTCCACCACCATGTTGTCATTTAATTTTATTCAACAGGAGCTGACCTATGCAAGCGAGCTCAGGCACCTAAGAAGGTGGGAGAGCGAAAAGACAAAAAAAGGGTGCATCTTCTCTTTTATCAATCAGCCAGAGGAGAAGGAAGGGGAGGGGGAGGAGGGGGGGGGAGGAAAAAAAAAAAATCAGAAAAACAGACCCTTCCCAAAAACATGATTCTTCTACTCATGCCTAATCAAAGTTCATGACTTAAAAGGATGTGGAATTTGAAAAATAGTCAATTAAAAAACGATTAAATTGCCACGGATATTTTGTGGGTTTGCAAATCACATTTTAAAAATGCCTCCCTCTCCGTTGTGTGGCTCTCTCAAGGAAACAATCAGGAGAAATGGATGATACACAAAGTAAACGAAAAGGATTAAATGTGGGTCTGTATGCAAGCTGTTATAGTATGAAGCAAGCATTTATATGCAGAGCATAATTTTTAACTTAACTCTCTCTCTTTAGCAAGTCATCTGAGGCCAAGCAAACAAAAATGCTTCAGAGTAATTATTCTCAGCATTTAAAAATGAAACAGCAGCCATAAGAGATATGATACACCATATATCAAGAACTAAAACTCCATGACAAAAATTGTGGGCTTACAAAAATAAAATCTAGATGCTGTTTTGAGAGCATGTATGCCCACTGGCTCCTCCAATATATACTATATATCTACAGGAGATAAGCACAGTTTGACAAAGCAGTGCCATTTTAGGAAGGTAAACAAGATTTAACAGTTGATAGCTGATGTGAAACAAGACACTGGGTACATTTTCTACTAGTTAAGTAGGCATAGTGAAGCTAATGCAACAGCATCCATTTACACCCACAGTCAATTTGGCCCATTATTGGGACACTCTTCTAATGAAAAAGACTACATATAAAGCAGGGAGGGGAGGAGCCACAGGAAAAGCCAAACTGTTTTTCAGTGCTAGTTCCTGACAGCCAAGTTGGGAAGATCAAGTCCTTCAGCAGTCACAGGAAGCAAGCAATCCTGATATCAGTTCCCTTGTCCACTTTTTAAGACCTCTCTCTTCACTCCAAAAAAGTTCCCATTGGCATTACTCCCACACTTGTAGTTCCTAATTAAAATGAAACAGATTCCAGCCCTTCAGGCGTAGTGTACAACAGAGGCTATGGAGCCAGAATCTCAAGCAGTGTAAATAATACAGCTGGTATAAAGTACAATTTACATCAACTGACCAACTTCTATAGGTATCCAGGAAATACTCAGACTCCTGTAAAACCTAAGCAAAATTGTTACTACTACCAATTTTTAAAAGTTACATTCAGAATTACAACCTCATTAAAATGCACCCATTATCTCTATAGTTTATGAAACAAAGATAGAGCATGAAAGGTCAGTTTGATGACAGATCTCATATCAGATTTCCCAAGAAATGAAAGTACATGAGAAGATACGAGATTTTTTGATTTAGCTCTGGAAATGGAAATCTTTATTCTATACTTATCCTACACAAAGACTATAAAACTAGTATTACAATCAAAATATTAATAAAGGAGGGGAGGGAATATATAATCATTGCCCACAACACTACTTTATAGCACATAAAAAACTACTTTATAGTTATGTAAAAAGTATGGCAGTTTTTATCCATGTGGGTTGTCATCTCTTATACGCACATCTTAATGTAATATCAGGGGTGGGCAATTATTTAGGCTGGAAGGCCATTTACTGAGTTGTTTTAGTGAACTGTTGAGGGCTGCATGCACACACATGCATGTGCTCCCCAACTCTGTTAGCTCTGGGTGGGCCAGCACCTGCTGGCTGCATCCACAACTGGGGGAGCAGGGGATGGAGCCTGGCTATGGGCCTCTGCACTGTCCTGCCCCATCAGAGCTCCTGGCATGCGCATGCACCCTCCTCTGCCACCCCACAGCTCCAAGGAGCCCTGGTGGTGGGGCAGGACAGGACAGTGCGGAGACCCACAGACAGGCTCCATCCCCCTCCCCCCATGGGCAGGGGATAGATGAGCCACACAGGGGTTGGAAACAGCTCACCTGCCTACCCAGCACTGTGGAGCAACCGGAGCCAGGTGCCACCTGCCAGCAGAGGCTGGAGACCAAGCGCAGCTTCCTCAAGGCCTGCAGGGCCAGACTCCATCTCCGAGACACCACAGGAGATGCTGGGTGGAAGCAGCCCCACACACCCAGCAGTGCACAACAGGCACTGGGCAAGCCATGCTTGGGCCCCTGCCTCTGAGGGCAGGGGGAGCAGGCAGCAGCTCCAGCCTCTGCTGGCAGTCCCCTGTGGCACCTGGGAGATGGGGTCCAGCCCTGCTGGCCCCAGGCAGGCCAGACTCCATCTCCCAGGCTGACACACAGTGCAGGGCAGGCAGGGCTGTTTCTGCCCAGAGTCCCCTGTAGTGCCAGCAGAGGCTGGAGCTGCTGCCCACTCTGTCCACCAGCAGAGGCAGGGGCCCAAGCATGTCTCATGCACGGCCTGCCATGTGCTGCCGCCACCTGCACTACCAGCCCATGGGTCAGATAAAAATCAATTGGCAGGCAGGATCCAGCCTGCCAATCCCATGGACCATATTTCACCCAGATATCTGTAACTTAATAACTGAATTTTAGGCAACTAAAAAGTATTCATTTAGCTCTAACTATTCAAATACTTAAAGTCTGCATATTCAGGATATAATACCTTATTTACCCAAATCCAAGAGGACCCTGGATTTAAGACAAACCCTCCAATTAGATTCTATACATGGAACATTTAAAGATTTGTTATAATTTTCCATGTACAGAACCTAATTATTAAGCATCTCAAATTTGTCCCCACCACCACTGCAGCAGGGAAGGCAGTACCAGGGGAAGCAGGCGGGGAGCAGTTGGGGACAGGCAATGCAAAGGCACAAGTGATAGGGATGGCAGGAAGCTTACCCTCTGCTGAACACCCCCCCCCCCTTACCATCCCCTTTTGCCTGCCCCCTACTGTCACTTACGTTGTTCTGGCACCATCCCCCACTGAAGCCTGAGGCATTCAGCACAGCCCCAGCCCAGGCCCAAAGCAACGGCATAAAGCCAGCACTGCTGCTCCAGGGTCAGGCTGGGGCCATGCTTCATGCTCCAAGCTGCAGCACAGATGGAGCCTGACAGGACTGAGGGGGGCAGGGACCTGAGGCTGTGAGGGGGAGAGACAGGGGGTACAGAGGTGGCTGAGGTATCGGGGCAAGCAGCAGCTGCAGCTCTTGCCCCAACCCAGGGCCAGAGCCAAAGTCTGTCCCACTGCTTCCTCGTACTCAATTCCAAGACAAAGGACTTCCCTCCCAATGTTGCGTGTTGGGGGGAACCTCATCTTGGAATTATGTACCTATAGTACTTTAATTCATAGGGGTCCTGATCCGTATCCCAGTGAACTGAACGGAACTCTTTCCAGTCAATTCACTGGATAAAAAGTTTCACTATACCAAGAACTGTATAGCAAAATCCCATGGCAAATATGAACGTTTTCAAAGGGGTTTTTTGTTTGCTTGTTTTAAAGTAAAGACTGACAATATATTTCTCCAGGAACAAGATTTAATTAACACTATCCACCTAAACCTCTGCTTATAAAAGCCATCTAGGATCTTATACACAGTATATTAATACAGAAAGGTGCAGGTACAATGGAAGCATGAACAGACATAGCTTTAAGGCATCTACCAAGGGTTACAAAGTAGGGAAGATATGGGCACACTGACTAGCAACTACAGCATAGGCCCTCCCCCAGGACCCCAGATACAAATTCTGATTGCCAGGCTATGATAAACCTTGCACTGTCACATCTTTGCTACCATCATTACCTACCTAACAAGCCTGAAGCTAACAGCGATAGATATATATATCTATAGGACAGAAAGAATGTAGCACAGGTGTACTACAGTAGCACCATGCTTTGGCTGGGCAGACACTTGTTCATACTCTATTTACAGGACCAGAATAACAATTGGAGAATTCTTAGAGTTATTAATTTAGAACAGGGACTGTCCAACTTCTAAGTGGCTGCGCTGCCCAAACCCCACCCTAAGCTGACAGGCTGCAGACCCCCAGGCCACAGGCTCCCACAACACCACAGTCTGTGCTACAGTTCTCAACCCCACTCCCAGAGACAGAGGCAGGAAGTGAAAGCTGGAGGGGGAGCCTGGAGATGCTGGCTGCTGCAGCAACCAGAGCAATGGGGAGAGCAATAGCCAGATGGGAGTTTGGGGGGCTGCAAAATTAACCCCTTGCAGGTACCAGATGAACAGCCCTGATTAAAGATTTTTTTTTTAATTTCAAATGTTTCAAGTAATGCTTCGTATTCACATCTGATTTAACAATATTTTAAAAATTAGAATGAATACCCCACCTGGTTTCCCCAAACTGTGTGCGCACACATACGCATTCTAGATTGTGAGGAACTCCACACCCAACAGATGTTATGTGTGGATCAGGAATCAGCTCAGAATCAATTATCATCATTTTTTTCCCTTTCAATACTCATTTGAAATAAATGCTGCAACAACCACGAAGCTAAAATAAAGAATATGAAAGAATGACTCTTCATTCCACAAGGGTGTATTTTACTAGCAACATCCATGGAATTACAGTTGATGCAGAACTGTAGTCAATAGTATTAGTTCAAACCTAAGAGTTCTAATATGAAAACTAATGTAGCATGAAACTCCAGGATTCAGTAGTGCTCACCTGCATCAATGGCTTGCATTAGGCACTCGTAAGTTGTCTGAACTAGTCTTCTTCCACCTTCTTCAACTTCCCCAACATAAAACGTCTCGTTTAGATCCCCATGATAACCACTGCGATAAACAGTAATATCCACTGCAAAGAACATCAAAAATGTCACAAAACTATTACTGTTTTCTCACTTCCTGGCTCTTTTTCAGTTAAACTCAGGTTTCCCAACCCCATCATCACTCCTTCTGGCACCCTGTCATCATGACAGCATCCAACTGGGCAGAGATGCAGAGCTCAACATTTATTGACAGCCACCTGCAAGGTACATTTTCCAACGGAGGACTGCCCCTAGTGGGATCTACCTTGATTAGATGTAAGCCCTCAGCGTATTTGCAAGTCAAACTGGACCACATATGCAGGTGCATGTGCAGATTAGCAAACAGTCTTACAGTGAGAACACAAAATTTGCTGATCTCCTTTCAACTCCTTTTCATTTAACACAATAGTTTAAGAGAATTAAGGTGGGCCATTGGAATTGCGAAGGTAGGTCATGAGGCCCCCAAAGACTGTGTCCTGCACCCCAGAAGAAGTACCCATGAAATATTAAGTTCCTATGTTATACCTTACAACCCAAAATGATCTACCATTATTTTACAAATAAAATGAAACAAACTAAGGCTCAGCCCAGGCACTTAAAGTAAAGCACACTAATCCCTTGTGAGAACCAAAACTGAAAAAGCACATGAACAAAAACACTTACTTTCATTGTCATAACTGAGAGGAAATGCCCAGAGCTAATAAAACAAAATTTAAAAGTAAAGCTACCTCTGTCCAGCCAAATTGCTTGTGGACCCTCAAACACTGCCAGAAAAAAAGGGTTGCATTAAATCTGCAAGGTCTTTGAGAAGGACTTGGCAGTCTATACGCCTATGAAATGCCTGCACAAAAATGGTGCTACACAAGCACCAGAAATATCTGATGTGTTAACAACTTAATGATCAAAAAACCCATCTTATTGAAAATGCACACAAAACAAGTCAGAGGATTAAATAATTCTGCTAACATTAAAACAGTCGTCTTTTCACTTCGTGCTTGTACACTGCCTGTGCAATGGAGTCCTGAGCGATGACTGGGCTTATTAACCACTACACCACAAGGCAAATAACATACTACAATGGACAAACTTCTGCCAAATTGTAATGGCTTTAGATACTAACCAATTCCATGAAACTGAATTTGTAGATTCAGTAAACAAAAAATGTTAAATGCCTGACTAAAAACAAAAGACGGTGTGAAGAAATTACTTTCAACCAAAATCAAAACCTTGCTCTGCTGAGTGTTTTAGCTGTAAAGATGAGATACAAACAGAGTTGTTAAAATATGTCTGTCTTTCAGATTGCCTACCATTAACAATATCACCCTCTTGCAAAGGCCGTCTGTCAGGAATTCCATGGCAGATCACTTCATTCACAGACGTACAGCATGACTTAGGGAAATTATAATAATTCAGAGGGGAAGGATAGCAATTCCTTGCAATGCAGGCCTAAAACAGATTTAAAAAACACATACATATTACACTTTAGATTAGCAAAATCATTATAAAAAGGGGTGACAGCACAAGAGTCTTAAAGCCTTTTTTGCCACATCTTTTAGCCCTAAGCCATGCTTGCTCACTCTCTCTTTTGCATTTCCTCTCTGAGTAGACAATGAAAATAAATGAAGCTAGTCATGTTTGTTTCTGTTCACTTTCACTTCCAATTGTCAATGCTACTGTATAGATTTTTAAAAACTGCATAGGAAATGTGTATTTTTTTAATAACTAGTTTCAAAGGGGGCTTTTTAAATTGAAATGTTTTAGCTAGCCTTTGATGCTATAGAACATTTTTTTAATTGGACCTTGTGCAAAAAAAGTTTTGTTTGTTTTTTTAAAAACAAAAGCACTTAAGTGTCTGTTTCAACTTCAAGTTCTTTCCTGAAATAGAGCTTTCATTTGCCTAGATTGTGCCTGGCAACTGGCTCTCACAAGACAATGCTAGTCAGTGTGGCCTAAATCCAAGGACTCAAAAAGGCTCCTTCTGTGTTCCTTCAGGCTCTACAGTCTGATTCTGGATCCCATATAACTGAAGTTTTCTTCCCTGCAGACTTCCTGAAGCTCATATTAGCTTCCAAAAACTCTCTGAGGCTTGCAAATGGTCCAGCAGTCTTGCATATTGCATGCACAAAAATATGAAATACATATAGGCCTTTATATATCAATACTAAGGTCACAAAGAAATGAAGAGAAATGTGTGTTACTGGTGGACAAATCAGAATGAGAAACTTAGATAGTCAGAAACTGGAAAAAATGGAGTAAGAAATATGAAATGGAATGAGATTCCCCTCCACCCTGCAGGAGCTTCTGACATGGAGTTTTGTTTTTGCTTTTTTTTCCCCCTTATTAATGCAGCACCTGTGCTTTGCAACTGTGTTAACATCTGTATCAAAACATAGCTTTAAAGTGAAGAGGGAAGGCAGTTTATTCGCTGGAAAGCAAAGACAGGTTGGAAATGTAGAAAATGAGAGTGGGCATTTTAGCAATTATATACCAAAGTCACATTAGATAAAGGGAAAAGTTTGCATGCACCAATCCAAAAATACAATAAAGTCAATTTACTAGATGGACAGCATGGTCTATTTCTTCAGTAGTTACACCTGGTTTCACCATCATAGCAGCAACATCCAACACTTCTCTGGCAAGCTGCAAGTGAAGAAAGTAGTACTTATTCAAAACTGTATACAACTTGAGCCAGTAAAATACTGAGTAATATCTAGGGGATGAAAAGTCAGTTTCCTGAAGCAACAACCAGGTTCCTAGGAAGTTGCATTGAAGAGGAGAGCTACACTAAGTCTTCGGAATTTTGGAACTCAAGCGTAGTCCTAGCTCACTCGGGTATGTTAAAAAAAAGCCCAAAAATCGGAGATGGGCAAAATATGGCACTCCACATGGGGCCATGCCCTACCCGCTTGCATAGGGACAGCCTGCACTGGGCTCCCCCAGCATCTGCTGGCCCTGGCCAGCACGCAGCTTCTGCCAGGGCTGTTTCTGGTGCAGCTGCAGCCCAGTGCTGCTCTGTGCTTCCCACCTCCAACAACAGTTCCTGCTTTTGATCTTGCCCGTGCTGTGCTGTGCTGTGCTGTGCTGTGCCGTGCCACGCCAGGTGAGCTGTTTCAGCCAGGTGGCTCCTACCCCAGCATGCGAGTCTCTGGCATCAGCTCCCAGCCACCAGATCTGGAGCTGGAGTCCCAGCACTCTGCATGGGGCCAAACTCTGCTCGTTCGCACCAAGGCAGCCCACACCGCGCATCCACCAGTGCCCACAGCCCAGCTGGGTACTGTTCTGCACCCCGACTTTAGTTCCAGGATCTGAAGCCAGACCCCCATGTACCTACCGGGAGTGGTGTAGTGTGGTGCAGCAGGAGCGAGAGGAGAAGCTGCTCCTGCTGCACTGAGTCATACTGCACCAGCCATTCCAGGCAGGCAAGCGGCTTCAGCCAGGTGGATCCTACCACAGTGCCGGGGCTTCAGCTCCTGGCTGCTTTCCTGGAAACTGAAGCCAGAGCCCCATATACTGGGGCAGGAGCAGCTTCCAACGAGCTGTTCCCACAGTGGCTGCAGCCAGCCATGTGCTGCTCTGCACCCCCCCACCTCCAGCAGCAGCTGCTCCTCTCACTCCCTGCTGCATGGCGCCATGCTACTCCGAACAGGCATGCAGGGGCCTGGCTCCAGATCCTGGATCTGGAGACTGGGTGGGGTGTGGCGGGAAACAGAGCAGCACTCGGCCAGGCTGCAGGCACCGGAAGGAGCGCGGCAAGGGGCACCCTGGCACAAACAGGTGGGGCTCGCCCCATGCAGAGTGCCACCGTGAACCGTACTACCCAGGGAGCTCTACTGCACGCACCCCCCACTCTCCCCTCACCCACAGCAGGCTCCCAGGACCTAGCACCCAGGCAGCATCCCCTTTCACACATGCGTGTGTACATGCACACACATGCTCCCCCACCCCAGAGGGCAGGGGCATGTGATCCCAGCCTCTCCTATCCATCCCAATCCACTCCTGAACACTGCTCCTGCATACCCACAACCCCATAGGGCGTTTTGGTGAGTTTTTATGGGGGTTTGGGGGGAGAGAAGTTACTGACTCAGCCTGTGACAACTGATCAAAACTTCCTATGTGGCCCAAGGGCCCAAATAACTGCCCACCCCTGCCCTAAATAGTGCCAAGATAAAATGTACCATTTAAACCTCAAAGCATGGCTGTGATCAGGAAAGTGATCACACTTGCAAAGACCTTATTCAACAGGTCTACTTATTATGGAGACTGAAAAAAGAGTTACTGGTTTTTAGTCTTGTTAGCACCACAGAGACAACATAACTATAGACCAGAATTTTCTCCTCTTCTTACTCAGACATTAGCAACAGAATTATTAATTGAATTCCAGCTGCAGAATTATTACTAGTGATTTCAGAACAAAATTACAGCCAAATCTTAGACTGCATTTCAAACTGAAAATTTGACTTTGCAGGACTGATAATTAAAAAGAATATCCTCCTATGTGCAAAATAAGCAGACATGATCTGAGATCAACAGGAGAAAAACAGAAATGAAACTGCCAATTTGCATGCAAACACTTTTCAGAGTGTAACTGCCCTTTCACAGTTCAGACATGAAGATTAATTATCACAAGCTAGTGATACATTTGTTTTCTGTAGATTTAAGGAAAGCATCCATGCTTTACATAAAAATAAAAAGCCTTACCCTACATACTACTCTCATGCCTTCTATATCTTCAGACGATAGGATTTTTATTTGAGAAGTTCCTTTAAGAGCCTGTTCTGATTCAGACATTCCTAAAAGAAAAAAAAAAAAAGGAAAACAACTTAAGCATAGTATTTAGTGATTTTTTTTAACACATGCACATTTCTAATTTAAGGTACCATACATTTCTTTTGACACACTAACAACAACATACTCTCCAAACAAGGCAATTTTAATATCTACAACCATAATAGTTTACACACTTTCCCACAGAAAATACAGACACACGTGTATACACAATTCCACACAATTGCTTACATATTGAATTTCCTTCCATTTCCAGCATGTGCAATTACTCAAAATCATGCTCAAAGACTATTTTAATTCCAGAATCAGGATTTTTACAAAACAGGATTTTCTGCCTACAGGCAAAATACAGCAAACTTGCAGACGTTAGAGTTAAGGTTATAGGTTTGCAATGTTTTAAGAACTTACTACAGACAAACTGAACGATTTTTTTTCTATAGGAGTCAGAATATTCCTAAACATTTGTGATTATAAAACTGATACTGTGGTATCATTGCATATGGCTGACAGAAATGTATACACATTACTCATATTATTATTCTGTGGAAGGTCACTTTTATATTTTTAGCTAAAAATACAAGAACCACCACAAATATCAACATTGTATCTTTTTTAATATTTGATCAAAAACAACATAAGTTTTGTCAAAATTTTAAAAATAATTCTGAACACATTTTTGTCTCACATTAACTTATCAGTGTTTCTCAATATACAACAAAGGAGGACTACAGCAAGTAATTAAGCAAACAAGCATAAAAATGTTTTTTTCCACCTAACTCCACCAGCCTGTCAGGTACATTTTTTTTTAACCCCCTTCCCCCTCCATTTTCAGGAACAAAGGTTACAAGCCATTTTATAGTATATTTGCAGCAAAAATCTGAATGCCAAAGAAACAGTATTATGGGATCAATCCATGCACTTTTATACAATAAGACACAAAATTAGTCCTGTACTTTGAGAGAAAGAACCCAAAATGCACTTTAGTAGGATAACGAAACACATTTCTGAACTATCTAGGAAACATTTGTAACCTTTTTTCTTGAAAGGAATGTGTCACCAATGGATTATTTTAAAAAACAAACCCAAAAAAAACCCAACCCCACATTGATATACAGATTCTTTTTCCCATTACTCCATTATGTTCCACAGGTTTTTGCATTTACAACAATAAAAGAAAAATTTTAAGCTGGGATTTCCTTCAAATTACCTAATGGGTGATCAGCATAATCAGGTCTCTGAATATAACTTGGCACCGGCCTCGTCGGTGTCTAAATGAATCACAAAATTAGTTAGATTCTTTTTCATTACTGCAAGTACTTTTACAATCAGAGACACAAAATACATTGGCTGCAAAACACAGCTAATCACGCTTTGTGATAATTCACACACAAAGGCAGCCCTCCCACCTTGCTGTGCCTCAGCAATAATTTAGTAGAAACACACTATTGCAAAGACCTGTATTATTAACATTTTGTATTGCTTTTGCACTATTGAACCTCGAGAAGCCAAATGAACAGCTTCAAAAAACCAAATTTTCAAGTCAGAGAAAATTGTTCTTTGAGATGCATTAACCCCACTAATTCCTGATGGATCCTCTAATTACTAGGATGCATTAATGAAGGTCATCTTTTTAACATCTTATTTCTCAAAACTCTTCGCTGCAATTTCATGCCCATCAATCTTGCAGCAGCTATGGCAATAAGCACCCAGCAATAGGACTTTTGTGTTGCAGTGTTCAGCATTTCTCTTTCACCTAACCAAATAATCACACAGACCATGGTATGTGATCAGCAGGGATCCAACTTTCCCCTTCAAAGGAGAAAAACATGGATTTCTCCTTTTGCAAACAGTTCTCCACAAGCTGCAAGAGTTCCAGGCTCCAAGGAGCTGCTGGCAAAAAGAGCACAAAACCCTAAGCCCTGTCTGGGGGGTGGGGCCCGCAGACAACCTGAGAATCTGAGACCAGGCTGGCTCAGTCTCACTTTGCCTCCTACAGCCTTTGGGATAAGTAGGGCCTGGTGGGGAGGGGAGCAGGGGGCTTCAGGCCCTGTGAGTCAGGTGCAGGTCATGCTGCCAGGCCTGGAGGGGGACAGGGGAACCTGTGGAAAGCGCTGGCAGGGTGTGCGGGGGCAGGGCAGGAGGGAGTGGGTGACACTGCCAGAGCTGGGGGGGGACCTACAGGGACAACCAGCAGAGATGGCAGAGGGCAGGGCAAGGGTGTGAAGGTGGGCAGCCTGGGCCACATGGGGTATAGGGGGGAAAAAAAGACAGTGGCAGTGGGAGCCCCTTGGTGCAGAGGGGGGAGCTGCTGCCAGGAGGGAGTGAGAGGTAGGCAGGGGCTGCAACTTGGGAGTGGGGAGCACCAGCATATCAGGGATGCTCAGTGCCACAAAGCAGCGGAGGGAACAGTCGCAGCTGGTGAGTGAAGGGGGACCTCTGATTTTTCCATGATAAAAACCCCCCCACCAAAATCAACCCCGAAAATATATAGGTATTTAGAATTTATTTTATTATGATTGAGGCAGTTATAGGCTTCCAAATGTCTTTAAAATTGTAAATATATCAATAAAACATTGTGTTCAACTAATATATCTAATATCTATATAAGCTGCCCACCTGCCACCCTTGTCCTGCCCGACAGAGAGAGAGAGAGAGAGAGAGAGCGCTATAGATAGATAGATATAGATACAGAGATTTATATATCTATCTATCATAGGTAGGCACGTAGATAAATATGTCTATACGCGCACACACACACACACACACGAGTGGCGTTTCATTTTAATCATGGAAAAATATGGATTTGGTGTTTTTAAATCAAAGAATTTGGGATCTATTTTTTTTTTTAAATCAGAGAATCTGAATTTTAACAGAGAAAACCAGGATCCCTGGTGTTCAGACTTACTGGGCTGTATTGCCCATCTACTGTACGTAGAGGACATAAGAAGGAAACTAGAGTAATGGGCATCCTCTGTCCGTACCGTGCTTATGTCAGACAGAGAGATGCATAAAAATGCAACTAATCCTGAAAACACCCAGGTCTTCTCCATGTACAAATCTGTAACAGATTAACCAAAGGTGCATTTTAAACCTATTTAATAAAACTAACACCAAATGCTTTGTAGACACACTTATTTTAGCTTGGCTTATTATCAATTAAGCTAAAACAAACTACTCAAAATTTGTGGTTATACAACATGTTCTGATTTAAACAAACAAGCTTTTAAACCATATTAAATGAAACCAGTATAACTTTCTGATAAAAACAATTCCTTATACAGAGGATTAACTTTCAGCTTTTGAGTGTACTCTCTTTGATTTAGAAGGGACTACTCAATGGGCGCATCCACATGTGAGCTTGACTGTGCAGCTCATTACTGCACAAGTACTAAATGTACTGCACAGTAACCACTGGTACTACACAGTCCCAGTGCCGTGTGGGTCATTTCCAACCCTGCTGCACAGTAGCTCATTGCTACAATGCAGCAGCGTCAGGGTTCGTGCCCGCCAATGCTACATCACCGTAACATCTCATGTAGATGTACCCTCTATGTATAAAAATAAAACCAAATTTTAATGAGTAAAAGTTTTTACACAATCGGGACTTTCATTTATTGCATCTTATAGCCACAAAACAAAATTATGGTGTTGGCAGCAATACTTCTGCAGGTTATATGAAGGGATGGATGGATCATAAATCAACGAGTTTTAATTGACTTTAAGTATCTAATTTTGAAAATATATCCCAATCTCTGTACATGCAAATTTTAACAAACCTAGGTTTTATTTTGTTAAATTATTTCCTGCATCCCTGTACTGTGCTATGGTAGAATTAAATTTCTAACTCCCAATATTACTTTAATTATTGCATTCCTTATGAGCTCTCTCTAAAAAATCGTGACAAATATATGTTATCAAGCATCCCTGAATGAAGGAACTACTGTACGAGGTTATCTAAAATAATTAACTAACTAAACAGGGATTGATGAGAGCCACTTCCACATAGTGATCCCTGGTAACGTCTCTGATGGCCAAGAGCCCCTGACTTGACAGAACGCCAAAGCACACAAAGATAAAGATACGGACACCATTTCTGTCATACAAAAGAATTACATAAATAAAATGAATATATATCTCACACACATATGGAACCATTTTCTTAGAAAGGACAACAAAATTGCCAACAATCAAGTTATTTCTTGGCACTGATTTTGTTGTTAAAAGCATTTTTTTAAAAGGAAGCAAGTAATATTTCCACTGCTGGCTATACTCACCAGTGGATAATGTGGTCTAAGTTTACCAGTATATCGATATCCAGCCCAAGGATCTGTGTTAATGTCACCTTCCACAGTCCAAGAAGAAACTTGTTTGGCTTTTTCATCTTCTGCAAAACAAAGAATAAGAATTGGGGCATCCTAAGTCACTGTTGGCCAACCTTTTTGGCAAGCATGCCACAGAGTAAACCCTGCCCCATCTAAGTGCCATGTTGATCCCCTTTCCCTGCTTAGTCACTTGTTCTTTCTTCTCCCTGCCTGATCCATTCCTCTGCTTTCTACTCCCTTCCCTATCCAGCACTGTGATCCCTGCTCCCTCCTAGACTGTCATGTGCCACACACAGAAGCTGTCCATGTTGTGGTACACATGCTGTGGGTTAGCCACTTCTGCACTTAGTCAATGAACAACAAGAGTTTGGGGTCTGGCCGGTGACCCTCCCAAAAAAATCTAGATTTGCATCCCTTTTGTTGCTTTTTTCTCGTTTTTATAAAGAGTGTCAGAAAGATTATATAACTACTTACAGCGTTCTCCCTATTTTGTTTTTACATTAAAAAACTTTTAGGCCCAGTTTAACATATTTCTACTCTATAGAAATGAAAGAATAGTAGGGTTATGACACAAAATGCATGAAACCTATTTATCAAGGGGAAATTATTTTTAGTGTTTGTTTTTATTAGTTCTCAGGGGAAAAATACATCTTCACTAAAGACTTAATATTCTTTCCATAATAGTTTCCTTCCAGCATTCAAAGATAGAGGCCATACTAGTTTAACCATTAAGTGCCATGCCAATCCTCAAGAGTTACTAGAAGAAGCAAGTGGAATATTACAGCACAATGGACACATAAGCAGATTTACTTGGGGCTGCCTGACCTCCAGCTAAAGACTAAGTACTTATTTTTGTTCTTTTTCTTCTTTCAGAGCTCAGAAGCATGACACAAGACATCCAAAAGATTGTCATGGCAGGCTCCAAAACTGATCCATCAGTCTCCAAAACTAGCGTCTGAGCACCTGCCTGTTTAATGGATGATCAAGACAAAACTCTACAGTTTTGGGGCAAATTCGTCACAAGACCATTTTAAAGCAAATCACTCCATTAGCACTATTTTAATTAGTAAAGAAGTATGTTTAATTTTCTCAGTACCCTCTTAATTTTGTGGCATCAGAGAAAGGGAAATGACAGAGCTGAAACAGCACACAATTCTTGGCTGCTCTTTATGCAGTTAGAAAAATAGCAGTTTTGCATGGAGTTATCAAAGCACTCTAATATGTAGACAGGAGGCCTGTGTGAACAGGGAAGTATTCAATTCAGATTCGAAGGACTGTGATTTGATTCGGATCGTTGTCCTGAATCGATTTGGCCGAATCAGCTTCGGAAGATTTGGCACCGATTCAGATCGGCCAGGGAAAGGCAGGCACAGCTGGCCAGCTGCAGGTTCTCCCGCGGCTCCTCTGGCTGTGCCTGCCTTTCCCTGAGCAGTGGGGAGCCATGGGAGAAGCCTCCACAGCTGCCTTGCCCAGCCCCATCCTCCGCCTGGCCCCAGCCTCCCAGCACTTAAAAAAGTCCCACACTGCAGGAGCAGCGATTGAGGCCTCTGGGCACTCATCACAGAGCGCCCCCATGCAGCCCACGGCAGTGGGGAATCACCCCTCCCCACCTGGCACCCACGTGGCAGCTGCCCCCGTGGCTCGGGTACAGTGCGGCTCAGGGGGGCACCACGCGCTGTCTGGGAGCTGGGGCCGCTGGGACTGAGCGCTGCCAGGTTCTGGCTGACAGGTGAAGCTGTCCCAGCTCCCAGGCAAATGGAACCAGTGGCTGGGGGAATATTCAGGTCCCTGAACATTCCCCCAGTTCCCGGTTCGATACCCCAGCGCTCTGATCGCTTCCCCCAGCTCTTCCCGGGGGGCACGGGCCCCCAAATGATGCGGGATGACAGCAGGCTACTGTTGCCAGCTAGTGATGGCGGCAGCTCTGGGCTATTTCCCCAGCAAGCAGCAGCCGCCTGCTGAAATCCCGCACACAGATCCAGGGGCTGCACCCCCCAGGAAGAGCTGGGGGAATGATCAGAGCACTGGGGCGAACCAGGAGCTCCGGCTAACAGGTCGAGCCGCCCCAGCTCCCAGACACCATGCAGTGCCCTGCCAAGCTGCACTGCACCCATGCTATGGGACAGCTGCCGCACAGACGCCAGGCCGGGGTGGGGGGTAGCAATCCCCGCTGCCCCGTGCTATATGGGGGGGCTCTGCCACAAGTGCTCAGAGGCCCCAAATCACTGCTCCTGCAGACAACTTTTATTTTTTAAGTGCCAGGAGGCTGGGGCCAGGTGGGAGATCGGACAGCACAGCCATGGGGGCTTCTCCCATGGCTCCTCTGGCTGTGCCTGCCTCTGACCCAACAGGGGGAGCCATGGGGACTCAGCCAGGCTGCCACTTGCCCAGGTGGCACAGCAGGGAGGAGGGGGCAGGGTGCAATGCAGGCACAGCTCGCTCTGGGTAGCAGCAAGGCATAGCCCCCGCTCCCAGTGCTGCCATGCCCGCATCCCATGCACCCCTGCCCCAGGTGGGCAAGTGGCAGCATGGCATAGCCTAACACTTGCTCAGCCGGGGCGGGGGGGGAGTTTCTGAAGCGATTCAAATGCTTTGAATCAATTCGGAGCTTTTACTTGGTCTCTCGATTCAATTCAGAGATTCAGTCCCCAAATCTCATCCGAATCGAATCAGCTACCAAAGCTTTGCACAGCCATGGTAGACAGGTGCATTATGGAACTGCAGTGGCTGGACTGATTACATTTTACATAATGGTGCAAAGGGGGAGAAAATAAATAAAAGTAGAAAGAACTGCCAAGAGTGAGATGAGTTCAGACTGAGAAAATTCTTTTGGTTTTTATACTACATTCGCTATAAAACAATATACTGAGCACATGAACACTGATTCTGAGAACAAAAATTGTACTAAGTTTTAGGAAGAAGGTAAATGAGTCAAGGGTTTAGCTTTAGTACTCACGTGGACCAATCCTGAAAGGAAATCAGAAGTAAAAAAAACATATTGAGGGGTTTTTTTGTTTGTTTTTGGGGTGTTTTATATCCCCAAACCCCAGAAATCTGGCACTTATAAAATTCTATAATCAGACAATCAGATCAGGTGGGTTATAAACAGAGCAAGTCACATATATGAAGTACTGTTATTGAGAAAATAACTACACAGGTATGTAAATCAGACACCCACACAATTCAAGAAATTACATAAATGGAAAAAAGGTGTCATGGATCATTAAGGCTGTGTTTACATTTCCAGCAATTTCTAGCAAGTGTGAAAGCCATAGTGTAAAGAAGGTGCAGGTATTTTTGCTACTGTATAATTTACTAAAAACACTGAATTCTGGTTAAACTACAGCCTCTATTATTGATAGCACTAATACAGAAAAAAAGTTAGAACTTGCCTATTTAGAAACATTGCTGAAGTGTGCAGCACTGCTGTATTCTAACTGGCTGATTAGAGCACTTTATCTCAATATAGCCACATAAAGGCATTTAAAAAAAATAAAAGAATTACCCTACCTTCCATTATCTCAGGCTTTAAGAATTTCAAAGGAATATTTTGCAATGTTCTTTTGGTCACAATTTATTATCCTTGTCCTCTACTTCCCTGTCCATAAACCTAGTCATTCAGCTCACAGCAATATTTCAGACAAATGGGAATAGCATGAGCAGAAAGAGATTTCCATGCCAACACCTCTAAAGTTATCACAGTAATGTGGGAGATCAGCACCATCTCAGACATAAGGTATATATTGCCAGGTATCTCAGAAAAATTCAACACCAGTTACATACACATGCTTACTAGAGAAGAAAAAGCAGTATACATCACTGAGTAGAGGCACACCAATACATTGGTCCGATATCAGATCAGTACCAATATAAAGAAAATTGGCTGAATAGGAAGTCAGCCCGACAGAGCCGATAAATGCCAGTGCATGCGCACAGCCGCAGCGCAGCACTCAGGCAGCAAAGAGCAAAGCACGGAAGCATGGAGAGCTGCCTCCAGCTGTGGCTTCCGCCTGTGCTTGCACTCTGGGAGGGCGGGCATGTGCCCCCAGATCTGTGCGGGGCAAGTGGGTTGGCTGCAGCTGCGGGCTAGAGCCAGGCTCCTCTCACTGCGTACTGGGCTCAGAGCGGGGGCTATAGAGGAGGCTGCAGCTACCCCAGATTTCGCCGTAGCTCCCTCCCAGTGTCACCACCATGTACCCGGCACAGCCCCTGCTCTTCCTGGCAGCTGGGGGAGCCTGGAGTTGAGCCGGAGCTGCACCAGGCACGCAGGGGTGGCAGCAGCACTGGGAGGGAGCTACAGTGAAATCTGGGGTGGCTGCAGCCCCCTCCGAGTCCAGCCCTCAGTGAAAACAGCATGGCTCCTGCCACCAGCTGCAGCACGCTCACTCACCCCGCACAGATCCGGGGGCACCGCCCCCACCCCCACCCCTAGGGTGCAGGCAGTGGCAGGAGCTGCCCCCAAAAAACCCACACCTCCATCCCGCACCCCACCCCGTCCGGGTAGCGCCTGCCCCTGCCCCCTCCCTCACTATGGAGGGGGCGGGAGATGATCTTCTTCCTCATGCCCCTTCCCTCCCCCCTCCCCTTCCATCACAATGGACTTACCAGCTGGAAGCAACTCTCCACACTATATCAGAAATCAGATCAGTATCAGCTGATATGCCTCCTTAAAACTCAGTATCGGCCCCAAAAATCACTATCGATGCACCCCTATCATTGAACTAGTCAAAGGATAGCCTTTATTCAACATTTTAAAGCCAGAGTGTGAGGGAAGAAATACATAATAAGGAGAAACAGCTGCACATATACAAATCTGAAACTATTTGAAGACTACATAGAGTTTACTTACTTGCTTTCTTGTGTAGTAGCTTGTGCGTGGCCCAGCTTCCCTTAAAACATTCCTGAAAGTGCAAATAATATAAAAAGAGAAGAAAAAAAAAAAATCAGTGTTGTCCTGGGGTTTAAAGAGGAAACTAAAGTGAGGACTCTATTATCCACTATGTTCAACAGGTTTACAATCTAAGAGGAGAAATGGGAAGACAGACAGCTGCAACCAGTCACAATGGAGCAAGCTGATTTCAACTCATCACCTTACTATTGTCCTAATGTTACATTTTTCTGTAACAAAGAGCTAGAGTTGAAAGGACACTATGCTGTTAACAGAATCATGGCACCCAGAGAAAAAAAAAGGCTCATTTTAATCTAATCTAGCGTAGTGGTTCTCAACCGTTTTAGACTCAAGGCCTCTACCCATAACTTTTCGAAATTTAGTGGCACCCCATTTAAAAACTAATTTATTTCCTACAGTGCTTACCTTTTGTACCCTGCTACACCCTTAAAAAGACCTTGGGGGAAGAAGAGGGCAAGGCAGGCAGCAATGGGCAGGGCAACCTTGAGAGCATGGCAAGGGAAAGTGTAAAATGTTCGGCACTGGCAGAAGCCACTCAATGGGGCAGACTGGGAAGCTTGGGTTGGGCCATTAAAGCCCTGAAGGAGGCAGATGTCCCCATTGGAAGCAGAAGGGGTGATAGTGGCAGGGTGCAAATTAAGGGGGAGCTCAAGAGGAGCTGAGCCCCCCGCCATAAGAGATGAGAGCCCCCCTGTCTCAAAAACACGGGGGGGGGGGGGGGGTGTCTCTAATCAGATTGCTCCATCACTTATCAATGAACTAGTTTAATTTATTTTGCAGACCCCCCCACCACAAGAGTCAAAGTGTAATTCAAACTCTGGATAGTGGCCACTGGAGGCTCAAGCTAGTGCCAGGTGAAGCTGACAAGGAGCAAAACCCTGCTGTGCCATGCTCTTCCCACCATCTGCCCCCAGTTTGTACCTGGGGGGGCAGCAGGAAGGAAATATGGCCCCCCAAGGTTATAGCCACTCTTCCAGCAATTTGTCAGTAACTGGAATCATCTTTCCCTCTGACCCTTCCCACCAGCTCAAAAGCCTGGCTTCACGTCGGCCTGCCCACCTGCAAGAGAGCATGCTGCTCAGAGCACAGCAGGCTGAGGCAGGCCTGGGGGTGTCTGGCCCATGGAAAAGTCACCGCACCCTTCAAAGGATCTCCCAGAACCCCAGGAGAGAATCACTGATCTAGTGCTACCCCATCCTGTAGCACACGTGCCACAAGCTTCATAGAGAGGCTCTGTATCTTGTGGCAGATGTGGGAGGGGACAGGCAGCACAGCAGCAGACAGAGCAGGGAACAGAAAGCAAAGAAGCAAATCAGACAAGAGTTACAGGGAAGGAAGCAAAAAACAGAGCAGCAGCTCAGGCATGGGAAGACTGGCACTTGGGGAGGGGTGGCAGGGCTAATTTGTAGCATGCCTGCAAGGTTAGTCTCCTCTGCTCTAGTATACAAAAGAGGTTCTAATTAGGGGTGTGCAAAACAGGCCCTATTTGATTCGGATTTGGTCCAAATCAGGGACAGAGATTCAATCTGTTGATTCGGATCACTGTCCCAATTCGATTCAGCTGAATCTGACGATTCGATGCTGATTCGGCAAATTAACAATTTGGACATGGACACAGCTTAAAAGTTTTTTCTACCTATCTTGAGGTAGCAGCATCGCTCGTGACTACTGTGGTGCTGGGGCACATGGAGCATCCCACAGGTGTGTGGGGGGCCCTCCATGTGCTCAGCGGTGAACCCAGAAGTAGACCAGCAATCGGCCACAGGGGGACCCCAGGTGCCCCCCCAGACACAGGAGGCACCAGTCACCAAGCCTGGGGCGCACGGGGGGGCCCCCCCAGCACGCTCCCTGGTGGACCTGGTCCTGCTGCTGAGAGCGCTGGGGAATCCCCCGTGCTTCTGTGGGTCGCTCCATAAGCTCCAGCACTGCAGACACCACGAGCCCCGCTACCTAGAAGTATGTAGAAAAAACATATAAAGCTGTATCTACATCTGAATCACCGAATCTGCCTGAATCAATTTGGAGGGTTCCGAATCAATTCGGAAAGATTAAAGGGTCCTCTGATTCAATTTGGATTCGAAGATTTGGTCACCAAATGAAGCCGAATCAAATCAGGGACCAAAGCTTCACACAGCCCTAGTTCTAATCTGTACCCTACAAAGTTATTCACAATATAAAATAGGGATGTAAATATAGTTTTAAAAATTATCTGTTTAATCTCCTCCAGTTACATCAGTTAAACAGTTAACCTAGTTCAGTGACCTCCAGC